CCTGTAATCCCAGCAACTCAGGAGTATAGGCAGGAGGATTGCAAGTTCAAGACCAGACTCAACAACTTAGGGAGACCATGTCTCAAATAAAAAGCAAAAAAGAGCTGGGAGCGGTGCACAGTGGCTCACATCTATAATCCCAGCAGCTTGGGAGGCTGGGGCAGGAGGATGGTGAGTTCAAGCCAGCTTTAGCAAAAGCATTAAGCAACTCAGTAAGACCTGCCTCTAAATAAAATACAAAATAGAGCTGGGGATGTGGCTCAGTGGTTGAGTGACTCTGAGTTCAATTCCCAGTACCCCTCCACAAGAGCTGGGGATGTAGCTAAATGGAAAAGTACCCTGGTTCAACCTCCAGTCCTGCAAATAATAATAGTAATAATTATTATAATTTGGATGTGATTCTTCATAAACCTAGTCAATTTTTATTATCATATTTCTCTGTTTCATACTGGAATTTTAATATAAGTAGATCTCCAACAATGAAATTGATTTAAATTTGTTGATAAAGGTTTAAAATTGCTAACATACATTTTGCTTTCATTGCTAGCCAATCAGGATTATATTTATCTCTGCTGGATGTCTAACATGAAATGTCCATTGATTTCTCTGTTTCAAATTCAGCGAGTTTTAGGGATTTTCTTTGGCAAAAAGAAATAACCTGTGCTTGTCTGACATCTTGGTTTTCATGGGTAATCTAGAAATAACTGCTAAACATAAGTAATTTAAGCACATATACCTGAAATAAATGTTTATAAATGTATATGATAGAGATAACATATCTGAATCATTTGTAAATAGCTATAATACCAATTTCAGGTACTTTTGGCCTCTTAAAAACAGTGTCCTTGAGTCTGTTAGAAGTGTTTTCATCAATTGTTGATATACAAAACACAGTTGAAGTGTGGCATGGTGGTGTATGCCTGTAATCCCAGCAACTTGTGGGGCTAAGGAGAAGATCACAAATTCGTGGCCAGCCCGGGCAATTTAGGTGAGTCTCTGTCTCAAAACAAAATAAAAAGGACTGGTGGTATAGTTTAATGGTAGCATACCCTTCAGTTCAAACTTAGTAATAACAATAATAACAATAAATTAACAGTTTAATATTGCTTTCTTCCTGGGTGTTCACTAAAAATAGGTCACTAAGAGTTGAAATTCTCCCTCTCTCTCTCTCTCTCTCTCTCTCTCTCTCTCTCTCGTAGTTTGGATGGATCCCAGGGCAACTTTACCACTAAACTACATCCCCAATCTTTTTATTTTTATTTTTATTTTGAGAGAGGGTCATGCTGAGTTGCTGAGGGTCTCAATAAATTACTGAGGCTGGCCTGGAATTTGCAATCCTCTTTCTCAGCCTCCCAAATTGCTGGAATGACAGGCTTGGGCCACCATGCCCAGACTAATTAACATCTGTAATTCTATATGCCAAGAATACAAACATAACTTAAACTGTGTTTTGACTTAAAAATGTAGAAATAAGTTGGGCATGGTAGCTCATGCCTATAATCCCAGCCACTTGGGCAGGAGGATTGCAAGTTTCAGACCAGCCTGGTAATTCAATGAGAACTTGTTTCAAAATAAGAATTATTTCAGAGAGATAGGGTGCATTCAGGGTGGTATGGCTATAGACAAGGATTATTTCAATTGTAAATTTAAGAAACAACGTAGAAATAAACCAGCAAATAGGGGAAGAAGAGATATAAAGGAAGTTATAAGTATAGGGGTATATTTTTGGTGAGGAAGATTTAAAAGAGGAGAGAATGTTTTAGGAGAGAAGGCTTTTTTATGGTAAAGTAAGATTTTTGTCCTGAGGTAAAAATGACTAGATTGTTTCCAAGTGGAAAAAATATCAAACAAAAACTAAAGGTATAAGCAAGTTGCAGGAGGTCTAAGCAAGTCACAGGTTTGTGAAGGGCCAGGTGTGATGGTGCCTACCTGTAATCCCAGCCACTTGGGAGGCTAAAGCAGGAGGATCATAAATTTGAGATCAGCCTTAGGAACTTAGTGAGACCCTGTCTCAAAATAAAAAACAAAAAGGGCTGGGAATGTAGCTCAGTGGTAGAGAACCTCTGGGTTCAATCCCCAGTACTGCTAAATTTAAAAAAAATAAATAAAATAGAATAAGGAGAAGGTTTGTGAAGGACAAATAAGAGGAAATTTGTGTGTGGTTATATTGATTATAATTTTAAAAAATTGTTCTTAAATTTTTTAAAATCAAAATTTAGGGCATTGAGCTGGGAACAGTGGTGCATGCCTGTAGTTAAGTGCCTCTGTTTTCAATCCCTGGTATCAAAAAAATAAAGAAAAGAAACTTCTATATAAACTGGAATAATTTTGTTCTTGTTGGTTTTGTTTTATTTTTATATTCTCCTTGTAAAACTTTGTACTTTTTGCCTCTCAAAATTCTAGAGGATTGGGCTGGAGTTGTGGCTCAGTGGTAGAGCACTTGCCTGGCATGTGTGAGGCACTGGGTTCAATTCTCAGCACTGCATATAAATAAATAAATAAATAAATATCCATTGACAACTACAATATATGTATACATATAAAATTTTAGAGGAGTAAAACTCCTAACAAAATAATCTTGTTCACTGTTTTGAAATGCTGACCATCACCTATAGACCTATAGGACAGATAAAGTTAAAATTAATGATGGATTCCAGATAAGCTGGGTCTAAGAACCATTTCTTGTAAACTTCTTTGTTGCTCAAATAGGCCTTCAATTTGTGTTTTGGTTTTTTTCTTGACACTGACTCCTAGTTGTCTATCACTTCTCCTGCAAAGCTGGGCCACATCAAACCAATAACAGGGACAGAGTTCCTTCTGGCAATGAGGAACAATCAAATACAAACTAGGGGTTGGCTTATCAGTGATTCTTCAGAGAAATTTTTTCAAAGGCAAGAGGGCAAATTGTTAGAATCAAAATGGAATCACTTGTGTTAGCCCTACCAAAAGTAAATAAGGTTGAGAGGTTATGGAATAAAGTTTCTTAAGCTTTTGTTAGAAACAAAACCTTCTACCAGATACCTCCACACAGAAGGTAAAACTCAGGACTTTGACAAGGGCCCTCTATTTAGGTTGATGTAGGAAAAATTTCTACTTTTTCTGATCCCAAGTGTGTTTCTTAGTAGTCCATATTCATGGAGCCATTTCAAAAGAGAGGACTCCCTACATGATTTATTTAGTTATATATCTTCTGACTTTGGCTCCATCTTGTATTCTGCTTTATAGTCCATAATAGTGTTTCTACTTTTAGGCTTAAACATCTGGTCCTTTTCACTTACATACTTCAGCCATTGCTTAGAGACCCAGATTGTCCCCTTCTCACATGTATTAGTTTATCACTTGCTGAGAAACCTGTAAAGCCAGATTGGCCAACACACCAATTCCCTCAAGATTGAGGAATGGGCAAAGAAATGGGGTGGGTAATTATAACAGGGACTTAGAAGTTGCTTTGCTAAAAAACATAGACTCTTCACTTGGGCCTGCAGACATCCAAGGATAATCAAAAGGAGGATAAGAGCTTGGCATCTCTCTGCCTTTGTTTTGGTACCTCAAATGATGGGTCAGATTCCTGCTCAATTCTGCTGGTAGACAGGTTGACTATTTGCGGAGTGCTAATCTAAAACTAGCAACTCTCCCCCTACCAGGCTGAGGAACCCAAAATAAGAGTAGCCAAACTATTTTTAATATTTGCAGAGACATCATAATGAACAGATAGTCAATTGCCATCTTATGACAAGAATCAAACCCCCAATGTAGCAGCCACTTCCTTATCATTAACAGGCTCTACATGGCCATCCTGAAATAAAGATTAACCATGGTTTGACCAAGACTGCATGACTATGCATCCTTCTAGCCCCCTGCCTTGGGATTGTTCCTTCTCTATGTAATCTTGTAGCTCTTATAACCTGAAGTAACCCAAAGACATCCCTTCGTTCTGCCTTCCCAGTGTGTCCACACTAGGAATGAATTCCTTCCCTGTGCCCTGCAACATTTATCTATTGTTCAATTGGATGAATGGCCAAGTCTAGTCTATTGGGGACCCCTGGGGTCAGACCGCTGTCTTAGGACCCCAGTAAAAGTAGCAGGGAATGAACTGGGCTGCTCTCAGGGCTGCAGAGGACAAGAGGAAGGAAGTATGCCAACATGCAGTGGCTGATCCTCTCCTCAGGACAAAAATGCTCTCTGAAACCATCCTCATAGCCAGTAATGGCAGAAAAACAGTGTGTGGTATTTTCCTTGTCTCTAATCCACCCCCACTTGGCCCCAGAGTAAACTTGGTAAGATACAGAACTGTCAATACCCATACCCATACCCATCTTAAGACCCTGAAAACCTCTAATTCTTAATCAGAGACAGTGTTCAAACTCAGGGCTGCAAAAGCCCCAAGTACACTGTTTACCAATTCTGAAGAAAGAATTTGGAGGACTCAACAGAGATGGTTTGGACATTTTATTACAGACATGCTGCTTGGTGGCAGCAAGCTGGGAGAATATGGAAAATGGCCCTGCTCCTAGAAGCAGGGGGAATATATAGGGTAGGTTATGTGCCCACTGTGCAAATGAATTTCTTTTTTCTTTTTCTTTTTCGGTACTGGGGATTGAACTCAAGGGCACTCCACCACTGAGCCATACCCCAAGCCCTGTCTTGTATTTTATTTAGAGACAAGATCTCACTGAGTTGCTTAGCAACTCACTTTTGCTGAGGCTGCCTTTGAACTTGTGATCCTCCTGCCTCAGCCTCCTGAGTTTCTGGGATTACAGGCATGCACCACTGAGCTCAGCTGGCAGATGGATTTCTTCAGATGTTTTGTGAATATATTCTTTTGCTTTAAAACCAAGGTCACTCTGCTTTGATCCCCACCTAAAAACTGAACAAGGCAAGTGCCAAGTTTTCCTTTTCTGTTTTCTTTGGAGTCCTTATCTCACCACCAGGTATGAAAAGTCTTCCCAGGCACTGATTAATATTTAACCCCACAGAGAGTAAAACCCTTCTAGGAGCAGTGACTTGCTTAAAAGGGCCCAATTTCTAAGGGGCACTATCAGACTGTTTCATCCCAAGGCTGGGTTTAAAGCCACACCACCTAGAAAACCCTAACACATGTCGGCTTCAATGACCATTCTCCCATGCCAGCTTGGATCAGGGACTCACGATTATTGAATACAGGAAAGGAAGGCAAGAGAGAGGGAAGACCTGTGGCAGAACAGAATTCAGGAATGGGAAGGGACTTTGGAGCTTCTCAGGAGCGATCTTCAGACCAGCAGCATCTGCATCGACATCACCATCCCCTGGATGCTTCAGTCACACACGTGAAGGTCTGTTGAAGCAGAATCCTCAAGTATTTTATTTAACAAGCTCCCCCAGGTATTCATGTGTTCATTTAGGCAGAACTGGTTTGGATCATTTTTCCTGTGACTCTCACCTGGGAGACTAGGTAAAGACAGGCACTGACCCTGTTGGTCTTCTAATGAACCTGAGATTATGTGTTTCTTATTAGCTCCCTAAGGAATTGTGGTGCCCACTCAAGTGGGAGAACCCCTCTCTTGGGGGAGGAAACAGGTTGAAATAGACGGGGCGAGGGGGGGCAGTTGCAGGCATTTTTCGGACATATTATCTTTTTTTGTATATTTTTTCTTATACTTGGGATTGATCCCAGGAGTGTTTGACCTCTGAGCTACATATTCAGCCCTTTTGTTTGTTTGTTTTGAGACAGGGTCTTGCTAAGTTGCCCAGGTTGGCCTCAAATTTGCAATCCTCCTGCCTCAGACTACAGGCACAAGCCACCAGGTCCAGCCTGAGATACTGTCAAATGGGTAATCTTAGAAATAAATTATGTTCTCTTCCCCAATATCTTGTTTAGACTCCATCCCCAAGTCATTCAGTCGTGTGTCTCTGTCCCAGAGCAGAGGGAGTTTGATGGATTCTGCACACCTTGCTTGCCCTGGGCTGCAGACCTGGCTCATTTCCTTTGATTCCTCTGTTCTATGACTGAGAGAAACAAGACCCTCAAGATTCCTATGATCACTGCAGCCCCCTCACTGGAAGCCCTCTTTCTGTATGAAGAGAGCAAAGGTTCTGTCACAAAGCTGGCTTTTTTGGGGTAAAAGAAAAATGTAGGTTTCCACTGTGATTTTAAACTGAAGATCATGCAAAAGAAGAATGAAACAAAGGGCTGGGGTTGTGGCTCAGTGGTAGAGCGCTCACCTAGCATGTGTGAGGCCCTGGGTTCAATCCTCAGCACCACGTAAAAATAAATAAGTAAAACAAAGGTATAGTGTCCAACTACAACTGAAAAGATTTAGAAAAAGAAGAGTAAAACACAAAGAGCAAGTGTAATTCTAAGTCCTGGTGTGGGCTGAGTGAATTGAGGGTTTTTGTTTTTGTTTTGTTTTGCTTAAAGAATGCATTTGTTTCTTTGTAGTTATAAATCAAATGCATTTCATTGTAGAAAATTTAGAAAATTAGAGAGAAAGTCTAAAGCTCTCATTATTGCACCACTCAAAAATGCCTTGTTAAACTTGGTACATTCCCTCAGTCTGTCCCTGAACCTCACTCGACATCACAGCAATAACACCATCAAGAATTCTTTGTAATTGGCTTTGTTTCTCTTATTGGTTCATAGTGACCTTTCACTCAAGTCATTTTTTCTCCCACTTTGTCAGTTTGCCAGGTGTTGTTTTGGATCATTGTGTTCTCAAACAGTTCTGTTCTTTTAGCTTTTTTTTTTTTTTTAAACCAGTAACCACTGAGCTACATTCCCAGCCCATTTTATTTTTTTTAAATTTTGAAACAGGGCCTCAGTAAGTTACTCAGGGCCTTGATAATTTGCTGAGGTGAGCCCAAACTTGCAATCCTCCTGCCTCAGCCTCCCAAGTCCCTGGGTTTACAGGTGTGTGCCACCAAACCTAGCCTCTTTGGGCATTTTGTGTCTTTATCTTTTACCACTGCACCGAAGGAGTCTATCTTCATCTCTGTGCTATTCTCCTTAGGATCCGAGTTTAGAAGTAATAAACATGAACTCAACTGTTTTAAATGATCTTAAGAGTTTTGATGTACACTCTCCAATTGTTCTCCATAAAAACTGTTCCAACATATGATCCTTGTGCATGTCACTTCCCCTGTGTGCTCTGTTCTGCTCTGAGTAGTAGTATAAATTAAATGTTAATTCTTGGCCCATTATAGTACTCTTTTATCAACATCTTTATTTTTATTTTTTTTTGGTGGTGGTGGTGGGGGAGCTGGGACCCAGGGATTGACCCCAGGGGAGCTTAACCACTGAGCCACATCCCCAGATCTTTTTATATTTTATTTTGAGACAGGGTTTCACTAAGTTGCTGAGGGCCTTGCTAAATTGCTGAGGCTGGCTTCGAATTTGCAATCCTCCTGCCTCAGCCTCCTAAACTGCTGGGATTACAGGCACATGCAACCATGCCCAGCAACAACTTTACATTTCTTTTGTTATCAATCAGCTTAACTTTTCATGTGCTTATTCATAATTTCTATTTGTTTCTGCATATGTGTGTTAAATGACCTTTTGTTTCCCTTGTCATTTTTCTCCTTAGATGCTTTTCTTTTTCCATTGGCATATAGAAATCCTTCATATAATGATATTGTTCTCCTAAATTGCTAGTGTTACAGGCGTGTGCCACCAAGACTTGTTTATTTTACTTACCTCAAAAAGACGACAAGGGCAACTTGCTACTTTTCCTTATCCTACTGATTTCAATCTAGGTTAATTTCGTTTGTTCATGCAGCCATCAAATATGCTTTTATCAGCTAGGCATGGAGGTACACACCTGTAATCCCAGTAACTCAGGCAGCTGAGGCAGGAAGATCTCAAGTTCGAGGCCAGCCTGGAAATGCAGCAAGGCTATGTCTCAAAAATAAAAAGGTTTGGGGATGTAGCTCAGTGGTAGTGTTACCGCTGTTTACCAGTGACGAGTCCTTGCTTCCCCAAATGCTGAAGTATAACACCAGAGAAGAATGCCAAGGCAAGTGTAGAGTGGAAAGTGGAAGGCTTTATTAAAGGACAGCAGAAAAGACACCCCCCACCACCTCCAGGAAGAAGGGGATCTGAAAGGCGGAATAAGAGGAGGTCTTCCCTTTTTTATATCTAAGCTCTTCTTTTGTCCTCCCACATTCCAATCCTTTATTTCCTTCTATCCTGCAGTGATAGAATGCAGGTGGGAAGGCCAAAAGGTGGGAAAGTTGTGGACCTAGGGCCGCAGGAAGGGCCTGGAGTGGTTTGATAAGGTCTCAAAGTTTTGCTGGGAGCTACTTCATTAACAGTTCTTTAGGATGGGCGGGAGCATTGGGGACATTAACATTTCAAGTTCCCCAGGTGTTGTTCTGGTTTCCAGGACTCAGATTGGACTCCATTTTCTTTATTGTACTCGATTTACCTAACTACACTACTTTTCTTTAAATCTGGCTTCAGTAGTGTGGACCTGGGTTCAATCCCCAGTGCTGAGAAAAATAAAATAAAATAAAATTTAAAAATGCCTTTGTCACCTTCAAAATGAAGCTCTTAGCCTCACTCTAATCTATCTTTTCTGTTGCATCTCCAACTCAGCTTGAGCAAGACTCCAATAGTTTTCTCTTTGTCAATTGTGTCTTTGTCAATGTTTTATTATCTTTATGAAACCCTTCCACCCCTTCCTTTCTGTCCTTTACATTCTACATATTCTATAAAATATCTTAAAACATCATCACCTTATCTGCAAACATTTCCCAAACTTCCTCTGTAACAAAATAGCATACTGTCATTATTGCTCTGTGATTTTGACAGGCTTGTAGCTCTTTCTGTGTGTTTTGTTTGTTTTAGTGACTTGCTAAGCCAGTTCCTTGGCTAGGTTGCCTGAAGGCAGAAGTTCCATCTTCAGTAGCATTTACCAGACCTCAGCAGGGACCCTTGAATTTGACATTCAGTCAAGAAACAGCACCTGGATTTACTCATTCTCTACCCCTGACCTTTATCTACATTTCAGAAGGCTTTCCTGGCCAGCCTTATGGTCCTTGCTACCTTCATGACTGCATGCAATGCACAGTGCTATGCAATCACTTTGGACAGTGATCAAGGTAATGTGCATACTCGTCAGTCCTGGGTTTTCAATGCTTATTATGTTATTATAGCCTAGTAGGTATGGCCTATTGGTAGATGAGAGCCTTTTGAATCTCCATGAGGAAGAGGGTTGAGACAGATATAGAAAATGAATAAAATGAATGACTTTAATTTGCCCTGCATATGAAGCAGTCATTCTCAATTCTGGCTGGATGAGAATTGCCTAGAGAGCTTCTGAAACTTACCAATGCTTAGGCCTCATCTAAAACCAGGTTAATCAGAATCTCTGGGGTTGGAACAGCATATTTAAAAGCTTCTTGATGGACTCTCAAATGCAGCCAGGGTTGAGAACCACTGCTTATTCCAAAGCAGTATTCAAACCTTCATGTGTGTGCCAATCTCTGGAAAATCTTGTTAAAATGTAGGTTCTGATTCAGTGCATCTGAAGCAGATATGAGAGTATCCAAGTTCAGAGTGGTCCCAGGTGATGCCGTTGCTGGTCCTTCAAGCACACTTGGATCAGCAAGGATCTAAGGAAGTAGTTCTCATCTCTGTTTGAACCTTGGAATCATTTGGGAGTTTCCTAGAAATACAGAGACATGGGCCCACACTAAGGGATTCCAATTTCAGTGTCATGGGGTGGGACTCAGACATATATATATTTTTTTTCTTGTTGGATGCTGGGGATTGAACACAGGGCCTCATGCATGCTAAGCACATGCTCTACCACTGAGCTACACCCCCAGCCCATAGATGTTTTTAAGTAAAGAAGGTGTTTCACATGTACACAGGGCTGAGAAACTCTTATGCAAAGCTAATGGAAGTGAAAAAGTAAATTATTTATCCAGATATGATCCAGTAGGAAAAAGCTGGGCTTCAGTTACCCATAGGCTCATAATAAATACCTGATTAAACAGGAGGGCCTGAGTTATTCTTGAAATGTCTGCTCTGAAATAAAATCTGGAAAGATTTAAACTTGGTATAAGAAAACATTATCAGGGTTGGGGCTGGGGCTCAGTGGTAGATCACTTGCTTCACACATATGAGGCACTGGGTTTGATCCTCAGTACCACATAAAAATAAATAAATTAGATAAAGATATTGTGTCCATCTACAACTAAAAAATTATTAAAAAGAAAACATGATCAGTGACAAAGACTGCATAGTGCAGGAATTTAGCCATGGTCAATACTGAAGCATTTTCTTAAATGCCTTTAAAATTGCCTATCATCACATGGCAGGGCCTGGCCTCCCTGTCCTGACAAGCCTTGTCCTTGTTAAGTGACTTGACTATTTCACTGATATGCCCTGTGTACTCTTTTAGAATGCAAGGATATTAATGGAGTCATACACCCACTGAACTCGAAATGGACAAATTCGAACTGTGAGGAGTGTTATTGCCGTGAACGTGAAATTAGCTGCTGTAATTTGTAAGTCTCAAGCTAATGGGGACCAATACAGGGATGTGGCTGACTTTGATGAACAGCTATTACCTCTTTCAAAACACCATGCTTCAAGTTTTTAAAATAGACTTTATTTTTGGTCCTGGGAATGGAACCCGGGGCACTTTGCCACTAAGCTATGTCCTCAGTTCTTTTTCTTATTAAGACAGGGTCTCCATAAGTTGCTGAGAATTGGAGAAGTACAGAGATTTTCACATACTCCATATACAGAGATTTCCATTTCCACACAGCCTCCCCCTTTATCAACCATTTTGGGCAGTATCTTTATTCATTTTCTATAATTGATAAACCTGAGGGAACACATCATCATCACCCATAGTCCTTCTTTTACATTAGGGTTCACTCTTTATTTTGTAGTGGGAGGAAGGGTTAGTTTTCAGTCATATCTCCTTGTGGTAATGTATATATAACATAAAATTAATCATTTCAGCTAGTTTTAAGCAGACTGTTTCAGTTGCATTAAGTACATTTATATTATTATAAATACAACCATCACTACCACTCATCTCCAGAAGTCTTTTCATCTTTTTTTGTTTGTTTTTGAGATAAGGTCTCACTAAATTGCTTGTGATCCTCCTTCTAGCCTCTTGAGCTGCTGGGATTGCAGGTGTGGGTTACCATACCCAGCCAAGTCTTTTCATGTTGCAAAACTAAAACTTTGTACTCATCAAATAATCACTCCATAATCACTTCTCCCACCCAATTCCCTCTCCCACCATCTCCTAGAAACCACCTTTCTGTCTCTATGAATGTGACTATTCTAGGAACCTCATTTAAGTGGAATAATATAATATTTATCCTTTCAAGATCAGTTTACTTCACTTAGCATAATGTCCTCAGTGTTGACCCATGTTGTAGTATATGTTAGAATTTCCTTCCTTTTCAAGGTCTATAATATTTCATTGTCTGTACATATTACATTACATTTACATACTTATCTATCTGTAGGCACTTGGGTTGTGTTCCATTTTATTTAAATTGTTTTGAAACTTGGACAGTATCTCTATTCTTTATTTTTTATGGTACTGGGGATTAGACTCAGGGGTGTTCTACCACTGAGTTACATCCTCAGTCCCTTCCCCTAATTACTTTTTAATTTGAGATATCCATTGAGATAAGTGGCCTGGGCTGGCGTCAAACTTGTGATCCTCCTGCCTTAGCCTCCTGAGTTGATGGGAATGCAGGTGTGCAGAACCATTCTGGGCAGTATCTTTATTCTTAAATACCTATTTTTAGATAGGTTCCTGAAGATAGGAAGGCTTATCCAGTCATCTGATGCTATTCTAGAAATTGCCCCAGTGGGTCCAGAGTGGTGTGGTACATGGCTGTATGCCCACCAATCCTGTAATCCCAGTGATTTAGGAGGCTGAGATGGAAGGATTCTAAGTTCAAAACAGACGGAGAATCTAGTGATGCCCTAAGCAAAGAGACCCTGTCTCAAAATAAAAAAATAAAAGTCTGGGGATGTAGCTCAGTGACAGAGTGCCCCTGTGTTCAATACCTATTACTACTACTACTACTACTACTACCAATAAAATAAATAATAATAATAAATAAATAAAAAGCCTGGAAATAGCTCAGTGGTAAGTACCCTTAGGTTTGAACCCCAGTCTGGGGAGTGGGTGGGTATTGTCTTAATGGTCATGTTGGCTTTGATGTTGGAGATTTGCAAGAGTGGGAATGATCTGAGCAAAGGCAGAGGGAAGAGATGTGAGGTGTGAGGCATGATTTGTAGTATGCTTTATACTGTAAACCCCATGTTGCTTTTCTGTTCAATTTGAACTCAAGGCAGCCAAAGGTTATGCAGATGTTTTCTGCTGAGTTGCTATGGATGGAAAAGGCTTGTACGTGGGGAAATAGAACACAGAGTATCTGCAGTTTTGTTCATGCCAGCCACCCCGGCCCCCAATCCATCTGATTCTTCCTTCAGTCAGCCATGGCCTATAGTGTGTTGAAAGAACAAGACTGATTTTTAATTTTTCTGTTGTGAGAACTAAACCCAGGGCCTTACACATGCTAGGCAAGTACTCTACCAATTGCTTACTGAGTTATACCCCCAGTGTGACAGGAGAGGTTTTGATAATGGAAGCATTGCTGTAAAGCATTCCCCAAACTTGCCTCTGAATCTGAATTTTATCAAGTGCCTCAGGGACTCTTATGACTACACCAGTGAGTAGAGGAGCAAGCTCTTAAATACCTGAGTCCTATCAAAATTTAAGTGTCTGGAAAGTTCTGCTTGCATTGATTGAGCAGGACTCCTGGTAAATGTGAATCAAAACAAGAAGAGTATCAGACTGGGAAACTGGCCACCAGGCTGTCTGGAGCTATTGCCCTGGCTGGACTTTTGTGTATTATAGCTGAATCTTGATTTTTGTGGTGCCAGAGATTTGTCTTTGTATCAAGTGTCTTTGTGGTTGAATCTATGATGAACAATTCCTCCCTCACATATAAGCTCACATATATAGTATCCCCAGCTCTTCCAATAAATACTTAATTTTTTCTCTATGCCTTGCCTGTGTCTCCTGAGCCTAGGGGAATAACTGGCTCACAGTGCCCTTTTCTCGGCCACATTTTCTATTCTTTTGACACACTGCTCCACCATGGAGAAATGTGCTTATTTATCCTTACTGTTCAGAATCAACTTCCTTGGAATTGCTTCACTTCCTACCCATTCTATTTTTCTCATGAACTTAAAAAATTTTTTGACCATAACAAAAATATCAATTTTGATTAAGTTTTCTCTAGAAGAGTTTTTTGGGCCCATCACCCCTCCTATGGGATAGTGCCCAGATCTGGGCACTATCAGTGTCCAGAGGCTCAGGCAGAAGCTCCCCAGGCATTGCATGGGAGATGTCTTGGCACATGTTCTTCTGTCCAGGCCCAGATTCTCAGACTGCAGTGAGGGAGGCAAAGGACCAAGGTCACCCAGCCTCCAGCTCTGAACACCTGATTACCCAATGCTTGTAGTACCCTTCTCAATCTCTCTTTAAAAATTTTTTTCAGTTGTAGATGGACAGATGGACGCAATACCTTCATTTATTTATTTTTATGTGGTGCTGAGGATCGAATCCAGTGCCTCACACAGTCTAGGCAAGTGCTCTACCACTGAGCTACAAACCCAGCCCCTCAATCTCTTTTTATTTTGAGACAGGGTCTCAGTAACTTGCTTAGGGCCTCAGTACATTGTTGAGGCTGGTCTTGAACTTGAGATCCTCTTGCCTCAGCCTCCTGAGCCACTGGGATTATAGGTATATCCCATCAAACCTGGAGAATTACACAATTTCATTTCCTACCAAAATCTTGCAAAAGAAAGGTATTTGTTTCAATAAACACTACTCTATTTTTAAACAATTTATATTGGAGTAAAATATACATTACATAAAATTTTCCATTTTAACCATTTTTTTTGGGGGGGGGGTGCTGGGGATAGAACCTAGGAGGGCTCTACCACTGAACTACATCTCCAGTCCTCTTTGTATTTTATTTTGAGACAAAGTCTCACCAAGTTGCTAAGGATCTCACTAAGTTGCCCCAGCTGTCCTCAAACTTGTGATCCTCCTGACTCCTGAGTCACTGAGATTACAAGAATGTGCTACTGTGCCTTACTATTTTAAGCATTTTAAAGTGTACAATTCAAGTTAGTGGTATTAAGTACATTCACAATATTGTGCAATCATCACCACTATTTCCAAAACTTTTTAATGACCCCATTAAATTAACTTTAAAGGATAATTGCTGTATCCTTTAAGCAATAATTTCTACTTCCACTCCTGTTACCCTCTAATCTACTTTCTGTCTCTATGGATTTGCCTGTTTTACATATTTCATGTGGATGAAATCACAATATTTGATTATTTTGTGCTTGGTTTATTTTACTACACATATTTTCAAGGTTTATCCATCTTTCATCGTTATATTGGTACGTCATTCTTTTTATATTGGAATACTATTCATGGTATTGCTATACCACATGTTGTTTATCATCCACATTGATGGATAATTGTTTTTCACTTCACTTTTTGTTTTTGACTTCACTTTTTGTTTATAGCAAATGCACTAGTATGAATGAACACGTATTTTGGAGTCTCTGCTTCCAATACTTTGGAGGCATATACCTGGAAGAAATGTTGGGCCAAATGTAAATATTGTTTAAATTTTGAGAAACTGCCAAACTGTTTTCTAAAGTGGTTGCACCATTTCACATTCTCACCAACAAGTAATCACTTTTAAACATTAAACATTTACATTAGACATTTAAACCACTTTAAAACATTAAACATTTTCCAAAACTTTCAAAGTAAAACACTTAATTCTAGAACTATTGGAAAGTACAGGAGGAAAATGTATAATCCTACTGCATAAAGGTAATAACTGTTAAGGTTTTAATTTCTTTTTGTCTTTAATTTCTTTTTGTGTGTGTGGGTGTGTTTGTGTAGAACTGGGGATTTAATCCAGGGCCATTCTACCAGTGAGCTACACTCCCAGCCTTTTTTTTTTTTTTTTAAAATACCTTCATTTTACTTATTTATTTTTATGTGGTGCTGAGGATCAAACCCAGGACCTCGCATGCACTAGGTGAGTGCTCTACCGCTGAGCCACAACCCAACCCCGCGCCCCCCCCCCCCCAGCCCTTTTTCATTTGTATTTTGAGACAGGATTTGCTAAATTGTTGAGGCTGGCCTTGAATTTGCTATCTTCCTGTCTCAGCCCCCTGAGTTGTTGGGATTACAGGCCTGTGCCACTGTGTCTATTATCTATGCTTTTTTTCTCTCCATTTGCATAGTAGATATCAAACTTTATATTGCAGTTTTGTGATCTGAATTTTCCACTTAATATTCTAACATTAGTACTACTTTATCTTATCAAAACTCTTCAAAATATCAAATACTATTACTTTCTCATTCCTTTTTCTTGAAAAAATATTAAACCAGAATTTTTGAGCCAAAGGCACCATTCCAGTGTTTGCTTCCACTCATGGGATGACATTCCCACAGATTTGAGCTGTGATCAATCCTTTAGGTTCAATGCCCAGTGTTCTGGTTGGCTGTGAGCTGACTTCTTGCTATCCTCTCTCATGGTACCACCATGGGCTACAAATTCAGACATCTTGGAGACAGATAATTAGGGACTAAAGAATGACACTGATTTAGGCTAGCTTTAAGAAATGTCCTTTTTAGTAAAATAAAAGTCAAGGGTTTTGAAAGGAAACACTGTCACTAAGGGCACTGGGGATGGCTGCTTCTATACTCTTTAGGCAGGGTCAATCAAATCCAGAGTGTATGAATAGACTTCAAAGGAGCAGTGAGCCCCCAAACTGCACCAGTGAATGTGTAGGTAGATGTTTCTGAGAAGGTGATATTTAGTTTTCATCAACTTCTTCTTGGGCCCTATGACCCTGGCCTGGGGTACCTATTTGCTTCTGTTAGTTGAGGTAGCTCCTCTTCTAACAGGCTGCTATGCTAGGGCCAGGGCAACTGCTCCCTTCCCACTTTCTAGCAGCATTGCTACTGGTCATTTCCTGAACAGGGAAGGTATGTAGGGATAGACTGGAAGAAGCTGCCCAGCTCCAGAGAAGCCTTACCCCTATCTTTCTTGTATGTAGGTTGGAACATAGGACTGAAGTTAGGAATGGTCTATGTGACTTGATAATATGGGTAGGTCCAAGGACATGGAGGCCAAGCTTTGGGATGCTAGCCAATGGGTTCCCTCAAGTTGGCAAGGAATATGGTTTTTTTTCTTGCACAGAGCTGAACTGGGCAGCAGGGTAGGGTGGCTAATTGTTCTTCCTTCTAATGGGTCTTGGTCTTGTCTCAATGACAGAGTTCTTGAACCTGTTGGTTTTGATGCCAAGTGCGAGAAAATCTTTCACAAGTCGAACTGCAGCTATACTGTGGAGGAGAAGAACAACCCAGGAAAGCCCTGCTCTGTTAACACTTGGGTAGTATAATATTCTTCTAATGCTCCAAGCCTGTCAGGGCCCAGGCCCTTCCAGGATAGGCCTCATTCACCTATGGCCTCTAATAGCCTGTGATTTCCTAGCCCTACCAATCAATAAAAAAATATTTTGAGCAAACACTTGTATTGTTTTCACTGATTTAATATGTATTATAAAGCATACAAATATTCAAAGGAGCTAAAAATAAATCAAGTAAAAGTTATAGTATTTGTCTTACACTCCAATTGGTCATCAGGCATATTCTTCTAGGTGGACCACTGCCACTTTTGCCATTTCTGATATATTACTATTCTGCTGCCTGTGTCTATTACCTGGTGGATGGAGGGAAAAACAACAATAAATATGTCTTTGAGATGAAATCCAATTCTTTAGAGGTGTTCATGTTTATCTTCTGTCTTCTTGTTTAGGCAGTGCCTTCGCTGTTGTTCCACATCCCTCTGTGTTTGCCTAAGATTAGAGCAAGGTAGCAGGAAGTGCCCTCCTGACCCTGGGGCAGTCTGACAGGGAATTCAAAGGCCTAGGCGCTGTCTGGGTGGTGGAGAATGGCCAGGTCGATGGACTCCAGGATCAGTTATCAATTGCTGCATACATACCACCCAAAATGGAGTGACTTGAAACATTGGTTCTCTTTACAGTTTCTGTGGCAGAGAATATGTGTTTACTCAACACTGTGCTGACTGCCTGGGCCAGACATTGTGCTGGGCCTGGGGATAGAGAAGTGAATCAGAGAGATCAAGCCCCTGCTCTCCCACGGCTTGGAGTACACATCACAGATCACAAACAAGCACATCCATTGCTAAATAACCCATGAGAAATTGATAAAGAGCTGTATTTCCCCTACCCCTGATCCAGTCTGTTCAAACATGTGGATCTATTGAGCAATCTAGGCAGTTCCCCTTGGCTTTTTCCACACTCTTGAGTAATAAGAAATTGCTTTGGTTCCTTTAGTTACATAAAAATCTCATTCCAGAGTCAGCATTTTCATTGAAGACAGAGTGGGGGACAGGAGAGCAAAGGGCACAATGTACTCTTGGCTGCTTTTGCTGAAGAGGTGATCAAGGCTGGCTTCTTCTTGGAGCTTTTTGCATCAATGTGCCCAGTTCAGAAAGAGTTTCATTTTGCTGGGTGTGGTGTTGCACATTTATCATCCCAGGGACTTGGGAGGCAGAGGCAGGAGGACTGGAAGTTTAAGGCCAGACGGGGTGAATTGGTGAGACCCTGTCTCAAAATGAGAAGTAAAAGAGGTCTGGGGATATAGCTCAGTGGTAAAGCATCCCCAGATTTGATTCTCAGTACCCCCCACCCCATCCTAGTTTAACATCTGGTCACAAATCAACAGGAGTTGGGAGTATAGCTCAGTGGTAGAAAACTTAATATGTACAAGGCTCGGCACTGACATTGGGAGAAATATGAAGAAGGTATTGCAGTGGTGGATGTGAAGAATTGCATGCTATGATACAGTGCAAACAATCTTATATTTTGGAGTCAGATGATATAGAATCTGGGCTGACACTTATTTATTCAGTTCTTTTTTAAAAAAAATTGTGACAAAATTTACATAACATAAAATGTATCATTTAAACCATTTTTAAAGTATGTTCAGTAACATCAACTATATTCATAGTGCTGTGCAACCATCACCTCCATCCAGCTTCAGAACTTCCCATCATTCCAAACTGAAACTCTAAACCTATTAAACAATAAGTCTACAAAACTACCTGCTCTGTCCATCCCTGGCAAACAACATTGTCTCTCTGTGTCTAAGTATTTGACTACTCTATTAGTGGGCACCACAGTAGAGTTGATAGGAGGAATAAATTATAATGCCCTATAACATAGTAGGACAACTGTGGTTGACAATAACTAATTGAATATTTCAAAATAGCTAGTAGAGAGCATTTTCAATATTCCCACCAAAAAATGATGTTTTAGGTGACAGATATGCCAATCACTCTGATCTAATAATCACACATTGTATATATGTATTGCAAGATCACGCCGTATGCCATAAATATGTATAATAACTATGCATCAGTTAAAATTAGAATATGTTTGAAAAAAGAATTTGACTAATTACAGCATAGAAAGTGGAATTATACGCTATATATTTTTTTGTGTCTGCTGACATTTATATTTACATCTGAACGTCAAATATAAATAATATCTATCTTGTGGGGACATTTGGTGTTAGAGAATCACTTAGCATAGTTCTCTACATAGCATTTATCTTCAAAAATGTTTGCTTCATTTAACTTGATGTATTCGCTAGAGGTGAAAAGGACACTGATCAAGGGCAGGGAAAAGAGTGTGCCTGCACTCTATACCCTCTAGAGGGCAGGCAAGAGCTTTGCGCTGACCCGAGCAGAGGTCTCGCGAGACTGTCAGAAGCGTGGCGAGAGGCGTGGGAAGAAGATCGTGCTCTCGCGAGAACTCTGCCTCTGGGCCCAAGACTTGTGTCCGCTGGTGTCAGTCCAACCAGGGTACCCTCGGGTCGTCCGGAGAACCTCTCCGAACTGGTAAGAACTGGAATAACTGGCTGGGCGCGCAAGTCTCCTCCAGTTCTAACTCCGGGAGCCCAGCGGAAGCCGGATGGTAGCTGGCGTGCTGGGCCTGGGTCTACCCTTCCTGGTCGCCCTTTCCTTCCGCACGCCGGTCTCGGGCCTGTCTTCTCCCTTCTGGACACGCAGGGTCACTGACCACCTCATTCTGCCTGCCCGCGGGCTAAGCCTGACCTCCTCTCGCAGACCTTAGACTCGCCGGGCCCCGGAGCCACCTCCTTCTGGCTGCCAGTTGGCTGGGCCTGATCTCTCCCAGACTCTCCACTAGCCGGTCCCGGGACCACCTCGTCTTGCTTGGTCGCGGGCTCCCAAATCCTTGATATGTTAAGTCGGCCACCTCCTTCTCCCCTCCCGCGGGTTAGTTCTGTTCTCTCCCAAACCCTCGACCCATCCGGCCCCAAGGCCTCCACTTCTTGTAAGGCAAGGGCCTGTCTTCTTCCCTCCCATCCACACGTGGACCTCGCGGTTACCACCCGCAGCCAGGAGGCAGGGAAGATTTGTTTCCCCCTCCCTTTCCCTACAGACACTCCTGGCCGCAGGGATCCACCATCTGTTCCTGCTGGGTCGCTTTACCCCAGCTTCAAGTGTGACCAGGCGGGACCTGTTTTCTATGCCAGAGCGCATCCATTCCCAAGGGATTGTCAGGTGGAAACTCAAAAAATGTGGCCCTATAAGTGCAGCACACAGTGTTACTTAACATCCAAATAATCCCAATAATCTGGAAAAGTAGCCTGATTATCTTCCTTTTACAGATGAGAAGTTGTTTATTCATGATTCATAATACTGGCAATCATTTATTCAGTGACTTTATGCTGAAGGTATTACGGATATAGAAATGGGGAGGGGGAAGGACACACTTCTCGCTTCGATAGAACTAAATTTTTGTGATGGGAACAACAATAATATAGTCTTAAGTGCCATGGGATATGACAGGGGAAGATATGATCAAGAATGACTCAAGTCAGGGGCTGGGGTTGTGGCTCAGTGGTAGAGTGCTTGCCTAGCACATGTGAGGCACTGGGTTCGATCCTCAGCACCACATAAAATAAATAAATAAAATGAAGGTATTGTGTCCATCTACAGCTAAAAATAAAAAAGAATGACAGAAGTCAGTGTCTGACCCCAAGGGCAGAGCTTTCTTTACCGGGCCATTTCTGTTTTTGTTGTTATTGTTTTCTAGTTAGATAAGATTGACTAACATAACTACTTTCGGATGTACTTAATTTTCTACCATCTATTTGATAATTTGGAATATGTAGGACTCTTGAGTTACCACCTTGAGTAAGGATGGGACAGGTTCATAGTTGACTCACTTCTGCAGTGGAATCCTAGTGTGACATTTCTGAACTTTAAAGTACATCAGAATTGTGAAAGAAAACTTACCTTGCTGCTTCAGTGAAGGGAGATTCGTTTACTATCTGTGGTCAGAGGAGTAACTTAATTTGCTCTTTGCCTTTTTTTTTGTGGGGGGGATGGGGGATACTGGGGATCAAATCCAGGGGTGCTTTTCTATAGAGCTTCCCATCCTTTTTTTATTTTTTATTTTGAAACAGGGTCTTACTGAGTTGCTGAGGCTGGCCTCAAGCTTCCTATCCCCCTGCTTTAGCCTCCTGATTGCTGGGATTGCAGGCTTGTGCCACTGGACTTTGCTCCAAAGATTTGCTCTTTTAAGGATTTGCACACTTGTATAATTGTTCAGATAAGTAAATGTGTAAAGTCTAGCACAGTAACATTCCTTACATTTTATTTCTCTTTCCCCTCTTCCATAGAGCCTTTGCCCTTGGGTATCTAGAGGATATTCTAGCTGTTCAAAGTTTTATTATAGTTTGTGTATCAACGAATCTCTATAATTACATTATTCCCTTTGGGAAAAGAATTATTTCAAAAGTAGAAAATCAAATTGAACTATGTAAGGAAAGAAAAGGAAGATGTGTTTCTTAAAGCGGGAGGGGATGTATCTTAAAATTACACAGGACGGTATACTCTTACCCCCATTTTATTATATCAGCACAGTTGTCGGGGAATCTCTAGAACCTCTGAAGGGGTTTCATAAAACTCCATAGGCTATTTCTGATACATAGCCCTTCCTCCATTTGAGAGTCTCTTGGTTATTGTTTTCTAATACTTTCCTACATGGTGTTAACATACTGGAAGGCATTCAGAGCCAGTTGCTGCTGCTACTGATAGACTTTTAACCCTTAATCATTATTTCAAAGAATTAGTATTTTTTGTTTATTGTTGGTAAGTCCCTGATACAAATTCTTCTCTAAGTGGCAAGTTCATGTACCCTTAGGGAACACAGACCAAGGTAGTTTAGGCACTTAGATACTTGTTGAATGAATATATAAAACCTTAATACTTAAATGATCTCTTTAAAATAGCAGGTGTGGCTGAGGGTGTTAGACCTGGGATTAAATCTTGGCTCCTCTAGTTGGAAGGTTGTGACTGCAGGTAATATATTTAGCCTTTTCAGTTTCATTTTTTTAAAATGATTATAATACTCACCCTAAAGTGTTGTGAGGACTAAATGAGATAAAGTGTAAAAAATTGAAAAGGCTT